GATATCCTTCACAGTTTTGAGGGTTGATCTTCTTACCAGCACATGGTCGATTTCCGTCTGTCTCCCTCCACTGCTGTAGGTTACCTTTTGAGACTTCCCTTTTCGCGAAGAACGTGCTGCAGACTGCCAAGTCGTGGGCTGTAGCCAGGTCCAGAACCCTCTCTCCCTCAGCGTTCCTCGTTCCTATCCCTCTACCTCCGTGCACCCTTTCCAGGCCTCTTCCACCATTCAGGTCACCTGCTATGGTGACGTAGTCACCATCTGGAATCGATCTGATGGCATCGAGGCTTAGATAGAACTCGTCCTTCTTTATAGCATACATTATAAGTCACTTTCGGGGCACCCGGCTTGCGGTGCGTACACGGAGAGTATGGTCCAGTACCCCTCCTTCGTGTCTATCCTCACAGCCATGATCCGATCGCTGATCCTGTTCACAGCGGAGACATAGTCCTTGAGCGACTCCGCTACCGCTATGGCCACGCCGTTCCGCTTGGTGTCTTCTCCATTGTAGTAGAGCTTGACACCTTCCCCGATTTCCCTGGCCTTAGCACCTTTCCATCGCGTCTCCTGAAGGCATAGGACTTGGATATTCCTGCGCGTCATCAGATCAGCAACCTCTCGGGACTTCCCAGTTAGCGATCCTACGTTCAGAGTCCCTATTCGAACTAGCTTCTTTGGCCGAGGCCGTTCACTCCTCGGTAGCCCTCGCATACTGACCACAGAACTCGGGCGGGGGTTCTGCGCGCCACTTCCGGGTGACGTCCTAGCTTTATCACCAAAAAATATCCATTAAAAGATCAAATTTGAAAGATGACTGATTTCCGGGCGCTGTTCGATGAAATTGAAATGTTTTCCCAAAATCCGGAGTTTAATTTGAACAAAAAGCAAAGATGACCATCCAGAGCTCTTCTTTGTTCCATTGCCTACAGGATTCCAGAAGAAATTGTTAACCGATATTGGAGCTTTGACTCAATTTTTGCGCAATTTGACTGCTTGACGATTCCTGTTCCTTTTTTGCTACAATTTACCCTATTTCAAAGTCCATCTGCCTTTGTTTTCTCTTACGGGAACATTGAAGTGAAAGCCTAATGACTGCGAATCATTTTCAATAAGCTATATTGAATTTGAAGCAATACGGGGTGGCTGTATCATTTTGAACATAGGAAAATCGACCTCCTCTGAAAAAATGAGCACAAAATTTTTGGCGTTTTCGACATGGATTTTTGTGTTGATATCTGAACTCGCCATGAAATTTGTCACATTTTCTATCTGGACAGTTTTTCAGAAAACTCTATGAACTTTAAGTTTTCGAACAAATTTTAGGTGGCTGTATCATTATTGAACGCAGTATATGTTTATATAGACATCTGGGGATGTTTTTTGAAAAAGGCTCTACCGACAAATTGTGACACATATGAACGCGAGATCTGCAATATAACACGGAAATCCAGTTTGAAGAGAGCAACAATTTTTTATCTCTATTTTTTCGAAAATATCCGCTTTGCCTATGACGCAATCTAGTTCACCATGTGCAAGCGTGCGTTGAAGATTTCCAGAGGATTTTCATAAACTAATATTGTTTCCGCCACATAAAATTCTTTCTGTTGTGCGTTTGTGTTCTTAGTTTACGCTCAGTGCTTTTATACCACACAAAATGACCGAATCCTAAGTTCGCACGTTTTCCAAGGGATATTTTATTTTTTAAGCGACTCCTCGAATCTGAAGGGGTGTGAAGCATGCGGCGCATCCCAAAGTGGGCCCGCCCCGCGCCCCGCCACGGGTAGGTTGCCGCGCTTCAACTTTTTTTTTTTTTTGGCGGGCTCTGAAGAAAGAAGAATCTCAATTCAGAAAAATCAAGAGGATCCTGAAAGGTTCCGTGTGAAATTACAAGGAGGAGTACACCATTCAACAAGAAACGCAGTCTTTACGTAAAATTCATAGCATGTAACCTTTAAAATTGAGATACGCTGAACAATTTTACACCTTTTGGAAAGAGAAAAGCACAAGGATTGCGAAGCTGCTCGCACTTCAGTGCATGGTCGACCCTGAAAGGAGCTAATAAGCGTTTGAATAGTGCATGGCTGAAAAAAGTACTTTCTCGGTTGCAAAATTCTCGACGGTTCCCATTTTTCGAATGTGTGAACGTACATATAAGCCTGTTTAGACCCGTTTCGATGAAGCAAAATCCTCTAGTTGTTTGCATAGAACTTCTCAGATTTGACGGAAATGAAGCAAGTTATGGCTTCGGAAAGTGTAAAAACTCGTGCTCATCATGAATTTTCCTCGTTAATTAATCTAAATTTGTTATTTCTTATAACTTTTTGTAATTTCAATACTGATTAGAAAAAGCTCTTCACAAAACTTCCAAATCTGCTTTCAGATTGAAAATTCGTCATATTTGAAGAAAGTTATAATCATTTGAATATTTGTTCAAATTTCAATAGTAGATAAGCTGCTCCACGGTCAACGCAAAGATCAATCAACACAGCTGGCTAAGTGGCTAAGGCGGCTTACAAGGCTTCTTTCAACTGCAAGGGGACGTGTAAATTGAGAACTACATCAGTGTAGTACTTTTTATACAATAGAAGAAGGAGAGATTGCCGTCATAGTATGCCATTTTTTATTGAATGGTTTGCTTTTTGCTCATAATTCGTTTTGGTGTCGTCTGCCTATTTTGATAGTTATATCAACTATTGATCGATTCTTCGAACTTCTATCACTTTTGTACTTTCTACGGTAATTTTTCGGTGAAGCTGGGTAGGCAGGATTTTTTTATGAACAGTTTTGGTCGAGACTTAAGCAACATCGTTAATAGTGAGGCACTCTGCAAGGTATTTTTTGGATTCGGCCCCTGGAGGAGGGGAGGGGGAAGTCGTATTTCCTTTCTTTCCCTTACATTTCGCTTCACCCTGGTTCCACTCATGTTTCTCCGCTGCATTTTGCTTTTACCCAATCAAATTTTGAAATTATTACCCATTCAAGTTCCTTAGCTTATAGCAAAGGCAAAACCGCTGTCAGACTTCCGTAAAAGGAAAATCCTAGCAAAAGAGACGCAGGAATTGTCGAAGTGTCAGCTCACGCTGGAATTTGTCGGGGTGACTTCATAACGAACAAATTTCTCAAGGATGCTACAGGATATGATCTGGGAGGAACCCTGATTACTATCCGACCGAGATAAGCGCCGTATCGTGAGAAAATAATACGACTTTATCCAGACGGGTACGGAAATCAAAACTTCTTCAAAAGTTAGTGTCTCAATGGAAGCAGTTTCACGTGTTTTACAACACGCTCGTGACAGTCCATGTCTGGAAGATAAGAAATACGCTTTTGTGAAAGAAATCAGAGAGAAAAACGAGCCATTTTTCCTCAAAAAGTTTTGCTAAGGAGCGAAGTGAGGACACTTTTTATCTGTGATATTTTGGAACCTCTGACCATATCCTGATCTTCTTTTTACATGTTGCTACGAAGTAAAAAACCGATCTGAGAAAGAAAAACGTTAAGAGAAAGAAAGACGCAAATCAAAAATCACAAATGAAAGAATGTCACCGCTTCAATCGACTTGGCGAAACTTTCTAAGAAAAATGGCTCGTTTTTCTCTATGACTCCTTTTTCACAAAAGCGTATTTCTTATTTCCAGACATGGACTGTCACGAGCGTGTTGTAAAACACGTGAAACTGCTTCCATTGAGACACTAACTTTTAAAGAAGTTTTTCAGTACCCGTCTGGATAAAGTCGTATTATTTTTCTCACGATACGGCGCTTATCTCGGTCGGATAGTAATCAGGGTTCCTCCCAGTCATATCCTGTAGCATCCTTGAGAAATTTGTTCGTTATGAAGTCACCCCGACAAATTCCAGCGTGAGCTGACACTTGACAATTCCTGCGTCTCTTTTGCTAGGATTTTCCTTTTACGGAAGTCTGACAGCGGTTTTGCCTTTGCTATAAGCTAAGGAACTTGAATGGGTAATAATTTCAAAATTTGATTGGGTAAAAGCAAAATGCAGCGGAGAAACATGAGGTGGAACTATGATTTTGCGTCATAGGCAAAGCGGGTATTTTCGAAAAAAAGGATAAAAATTGTTGCTTTCTCAAACTGGATTTCCGTGTTAATATTCAGATTCGCGTTTATATGTGTCACAATTTGTCTGTAGAGCCTTTTTCAAAAACATCCCCAGATTCAAGTTTTTGGGAAATTTGTAGGTGGAACTGTAATTATGCGTCGCAGTGTGGTCTGCTATAGGTTCTCTATGACTGAAAAAGGTTGTTGGTGTCTTGATACTAATTCATTAGTGACTGTCGCCAAGAAAACTAGTGATCATTTGCCTAAACTATTTCTAATTAATTTGTCATTTTATAGCCGATGAATGTGCTAATTTACAATTTCATTGGCAATTCAATCAAGCTACATTCATGCGCAACAATTTGAGCGATTCGACGACATGGAAGTGTCAAGCAAGAGGAACGAAGAAAAGGAAAATCGCGTATTCTTCTGAAACGTGACGAAGTTGAAGTCTGCAAAGAATACATGAGAACCTGACATTCTCGAAGATTCTTCGATTCTGCTGATCGCCGAAAATGCTTAGACGGCGTGATCAGTCCAGTCGATACGTATGAAATCCTTTTCGCCGAATCTTCCGGGCAGCATATCCAAATTCCTTCCAGCAGATTGGTCGAATCCCCCAAAATGCTACCCCTGAACACAGGCAGAGATTATGGTCGAAATGTTTGTATACGCAGCGCAATAATGCGACGGTTTCACTTCGAATATAATTAATTCGACAGGCCACACTTTTTCACTTCACATATTCAAGAAATGAGCAATTCACAGAACGTCTTTTCAGGCAATACGAGCTCTTTAATTGCTCATCAAAGAACGATTGCTCTCTAAGAAAGGAGTTGATCAAGTCAATGAAACAAGTAAACGCCCTCGACAAGGTCCCAGTTACGAGTATAAAAACCGTGATTCATACCATGCTGACGATCTACCGTAGCCAACACAATGGCGACTATATTCAGCGACAAGGCGATCGTTGCCGCAGCGTCGCTTGCTTCGATTATTGCCATCGGTGCGTGCTTCATCGCGATTCCGTCGCTCTACAACGAGATCGAGGATCTACATAATATGGTATATTTCTTGTTTGATATGATATCCGCCTCCAGCGCATTTGAAAGGCAGCCGCTTATAAGCGCACATGAAAATGAGGTGCCAGAAGGTCGTGCATGACTGTATCTTACTTATTTTGCAACAAGTCCTACCTCAGTCCTCGCTGACTTTCAAAAAGTCCATCGATGCGTTGGGTGAAGGCAAGTTTGAATTCCATGTACGATTCACGGCGTGAAACTTCAAAATAACGCCAAAAATGCGATTTTTTCAATTTTTGCCTTAGGACTCGGATCAAAGTTGAATCTGAAGGTAACGTTTAGCTCAGCTTGCCGAGATCCATAAAAAATCGCTTCCAATTTCCAAAGGGCTCCATGTTAGATTACGCCACGGACTTGAGTTTCGTCCTGGGAAAGTTTCGTCCTAGGAATTGATTGTAATTGTTTGCATGTGATGCGTATATAATCCCACGCATCTTTGTCGTTCTATGGGAAAATGAATCTCAACACTTGCCCCACGATGCGCCACGTACTCGACTTCACCCACCACATTGCGACATATTGAATATTTTAACCGGATCCCAGGACGATTTCATTATGAAGTGTTTTACGATTAAAAGTATAGTTTCTGCGCTCCCTCCGATATCCTCTTCTTAGCCGTTCGAATGGGAACCCGTAGAGAACCGTTGTTTGCGTGCAGGAATAAGATGACATGCTTAACCGTAGGTGAGCGATCGTTTCGTGGTGTGGCTAAACATCATCTTTAATATACATAAGTGACGGTCACATAAATATCACCTCGCGTGAATTCATCAGTTTGGAATCTACACAACTTTTTAGAGTTGCAGCAGCAAAAAAAAGAAAAAAAGAAGGCGAAATAGCGTGACTTGGCGTAAATCAAAGTAAAATAAAGTAATGTGCACACACATGAAAGAACATATAAAACGTATAAGTGTCAAAACGCGAAGGTCTCCATTAAAAATGACTGTAAATCCTGCCAATTCTGCCCGTTATACCCCCCATGTGACGTAGCTTGGAACTTTGCTGGAATCGTCGTATACCTGAATTTGAAAGCGAAATTGTGAATGAGAGGGGATCAGAAGTAAAAATATTGGGAGTTATCCACAACTTTCAAGATTTTTTATGAATCGGGGCCTTTTTTTGAAGAAGGTGCGATTCGAAGGCACACCTCCAGACAAACTGGTGTGGAAAAGAATGGGAGTCTCAAAAAAGGACGGAGGTGAGGTGGCCGTCTTGTTGACTATATTCCTCTCGACACATGGCTCGCCCTTGCTGACTTACTTTTCCTAATGGCGTTGGCGTTATTGCTCAAGCGTGCAAGCGTTTAACGCCAACCGTCCAATGCAGAATTTTGGCCGCCATACGACCAAGGTGTGCTTGTACTTCCATAGACGGATCACCAGTTATACCGTGAATCATGACAGATCAGCCGGTGGTTCTGCAGCTTTTCGAACTGAGACGGGTAGGGAGAGGCTTTGGTCGAAGTGATAGCCATTAAATAAGAATCGAGTGAATGCAAGCTGCAACCCATATATGTTTCGATTGAATCAGAACATTCCGGCATCTCAGACTGTTACTCATCTGAAGTTATTAAACCTACTCAAATTTTCAGGTGCTAGATTCAGTGGCGACATTTCGTGGGGAGACCGATTCGGCGTGGGTCGAATTGATGGGCGTACAAGTTACCGTGTCGCCGCCGTCGAAATCCCATGAAAATCCGTTCGGATCAGTTTTTCGTCAAAAAAGACAACAACTACCACCTTGGTGCATTTGCGAAACTCCAAAGATCACTTGTCCGCCCGGGCCACCTGGCCTACCTGGTCCACGTGGACAGCCTGGTGAGTGGTTTTGTAATTGGTTAGGCTAGACGGGAAAGTAAATCACATCTTACTTCAGGCACTCCAGGCAAGCCTGGTCCTCCAGGAAAGGATGACACAACTACTTACGCTCCTATTCACTGTCCAGCACCCAATCGTACTTGCATACAATGCCCTATGGGACCCCGAGGACCAGCAGGGGATCTTGGACGTCCAGGCCCACCAGGAATGGATGGCAAACCTGGTACTCCTGGATCTCGCGGACAAGCTGGCAAGCCTGGCGAGAGAGGTCCACCAGGAGACAAAGGTGCTCAGGGAGAGCGAGGAACAGACGGACACCCAGGGGAGCCCGGTAAGGATGGAAGAAAAGGCGGTGGTAAACAAGGGCCGCCAGGACCACCTGGATCGCCTGGGGAACGTGGAAAACCTGGAGCCGGTGGTAAGGATGGCCCACCGGGTGCACCTGGCCAACCGGGACCGGCCGGAAAGGCAGGTTCCCCCGGAAACAAAGGCGAGGATGGTCGCCCGGGCTCTCCTGGCTCGGCTGGGATTCCCGGGAAGGAGACTCATTACTGTCCTTGTCCTTCACGTGGTACGACGAAGGTGGCAAAGAAGTCTTGATGTAAGGAATTTTGCTGCACTGAGATTTACGATGATTTAATAAAGATTCAAAATTTCTTGGAGGCATACCTGGAAACGGAATCACATTCTCTTTCTGATGCTGTTGATGATATTCGTTGCCATTACCGTGCAAATATTGCCAGTTCTGCATGGCGTTGTCCCATAATTTCTGGCTGAATTTCAACACTTTGATTTCTTCAAGTTTTATCTTTCCTTAAAAAATGATTATATAACCACCATCATAATCACTGATATGCACCCATTTGCTAGGGAACGAATGGATGCATTCCTCCCAGAACGAGAGAAGCTGTGAGATGAAAAGCTCGAAGAGGTCGTTTTTGGGGTGGTTGTATTTACTGACTTTTTCTCTCCTAGCTGCTGCTTCAGGGAGCTGAGGAGGTGATAGTACGATGGAGCAATGTCAGGGCTATACGATAGATGTGGTGTCGTGGTCCAGCCAGTTTCCTTCGAAACGTGGCGAGCAATGTGATTTCGGGCGGTCCTTCGGAGAAAGGAGATTTTGAGACGTTTCGAACCGTTCTCCCGCACTGCTGCGGCCAACTTCGGGAGCTATTCCATGGTTACCTTCGCAATGCTTGTCTGCATAAAGTGAAATGGTTCTCAAAACGGGATACCCAGCGAATCCAACGAACCGGGGTAATATTCTCTGATGAAAGAGCTCGGGTTTTGGTGAGATGGTGGGTCCAGGCTGCGAGGTAGCCACAAGGCGTGCAGCGTGTTGTTATCGTGGTGGACTCATGACTCATCTGCACTAGTGACCAGCTAGGGAATGCCCCACCTACATACAGTAGCGGTCAAAAGTTTGGAAACTTTTTTATTTTTGATCTAGCGCGGCCGACACATAACGAAATTGTCTCAAATTTAGATATTACATACAAAATCAAGTCCAGAATACGACGGGAAGAATAATTTCCAAAAATCTATAATCATATTTGAGAAATAAGATTTTTTCAAGTAATGGCGCGTCAAAAGTTTGGAAACTTTTTGTTTCCCTCATCATTATGATTCCTACTCTTCAATGTTTACTTGTTTCTGTTAATTTTAGTTCAACCATTGAGTAATGTGTAATTTCAAAATGAATTCATATGCAAAGGAAGCAGTTTTTCCATGGGAGGTCCTTTTTTAACCCTTTCCAAACCGCGCACTTTTGTCGTGGCGGGCGCGTGCTACACGGCGAGCATAAATAAATATATTGGACCTGTATTTCCACTGAAATCATTACTTTGTCCCGTTTTGTATTTTTCATGATTAAGAGGACATATATAGTGAATATGACAGAAAACTGTTGCATAATAAAAGTGATAGGGCCATAAAAGGGAGGCAGGAATGAAAATTGTTCAAAATAAGTTGTAATGGGGGAAAAGGGAGCGGAAAGTGTCCGAAACGTTTGAGTTTAATAGCATCAGATACGACATGCACGTAGTGTCATAAATTCTGTTGTATGAAGAGTTTTCAAATGATTTATAACTGTTTTCCTGAGCTCAAAGTGGACATCCATTTAGTATTTAGTTATTTTAGGAACTAGTTTGAGGTTGAAGTCTAGGTTTTTTCATACGTACGACATGAGTATGTTACATAGATATGTAACAACATAAAAGTTTTTGTCGAAAAACCTTATCTTCGGGAAAATGGTCCCTGACACCCATGGGTGTCAGGCGGTCCGGAAAGGGGTAAACCCTGCTGGAATGCAAAGTAGAAATTGTTTCTAGTAGTTCAATCTCTACGAAAGCAATATTATCGAATGTTTTTAGTGTTTTTGGAGCCGAGTAAGCATAAGACGAATGATCATTCACAAAAAAGTATTCTCACAAGAAAATTGGCCCTCCTCAAATACTTCGAAGGGTGGTTGGCACGCCCCGTACCCCCGATATGCCCAACTAAAAGACGATTTTTTCTGGTTTGAACCTAATCGTATGAAAGTCCAAGCACAGCCCAACATCGGCCACGACCTGGTGAATATCAAGGATGATATCCCAACAAAGAAGCCATTAGACCTGAGGCGAGGGGTAGAACTTTGTCCTCTCAGCGACAAGTGGGGTTCCTGTTTTTGCTAAAAAATGATGTTGTGGATCCTGTGAAGCGTTATGTCAGATGGAAACCTCATTTTGAGTATGAGATTCCAACAT